GACGGCGTTTACGCGGTTTTATTTGGGTTTCCTGAACTTCCTTATCATTGGGCTTGACCAGTGTTTTTTTTACTGGTTTCATTCGTCAACTGTTGGGTTCACCTATGAGGTCAACCCTCTAAAGTGGTGATATAATCTTCCCAACTGATAGTTAGCCCAGGTTATGCTGTTATTTTGGGGAAAATGGTCGTGTCGTTTTCAACGAAATTACTCGTAGAGTGTTGAAAAAAATGCGCTTTATTTGATTGTTTTAAACTCTCTGAGTTCTTAAAGAAATACACAATGGACTGATCATTGTTGATGACAACTGCATAAGAATGATTTGGTGCTAACTTTATGTGCGATGTGTTGTCTTGTTAAATCCTTATTCCCATGTGTTCTGCTTTCAGACTGACGTTTGCCACCGCTTGCCAATAACTTTAATTCCCCCTATTATTTCCTATTAGGTTGGAACACCCAATACTGACTGTGCCTCCACATCAGATTCCCCGGGGATTCTTCAATCCTCGTCTTCCTCATCCGGACTTTCAGACTCATCGGTCACTTTGACTAGATCAATGGAAGCTATAGTCGATTATGTGTCACATTTGTATGTGGCCCGTGAGTGTTTGGAAGCCACACGAAAACACAAACGCGAATTTGCCGATTTCCTGGCTCGATGCCACAAAACCACATTCAGTAAACGTTTGGATTTGTGGCACTTTTTAGGTTGGTGTTTCTAATATTCTTTTTCAGACAAATTCCCTGGTAAATTGTTGACCATTCACCTCTCTACAGATACGCCTAACATAGCCACTATTCTAACATGCACCCCTAGAATTTGTGTGTTATACTCGCTCAATTGTTGTTCTTTCGGACGAGGAAATCCTATCATGGTCAATATGCTATTTGTGATAAAGGATTTAATTAAATTATTGTCCAGCGTAGCTATCATCTAGTCAAGCTTTGCGAATTTGCGATAAACTTATTCGTTTGTTTTCTAAATATAAATCCCAGTAGATGAAGTTCATCATTGAGTAAATCGATTCTACTTTTGTGCAATGAAAGATATTCCAACCGAGGGATAGTTACATTTGTTCACAGATGTTGATACTGCTCCATGGTTGTGGCTGAACAAATCCGTTCGTTGATGGGCGACGCCTTTGATGTAATTTGAACAGGATTATTGAGTTTTACGCCACAGTTTGCATATACTTATCGTTGGTCATGCATTTTGTTTCCTATTTGAACAATCCGATGCAGATACTCCACGTACGCGATTGGTTCGATACCCGTTACTCATCAATCGTTTGATTAAATTGGTAAGGTGTTGAATATGATCGCATATTGTCCCAATGCTATTGCACGTTTATTGCACTTCTCATCTTACTCATCTGTACGCGGTTCATGAGACCATCTTCTATGCCTAAATCTTTTCACCTGGTTCGTTATTATTATCATCTATGCGTTTTTTTATTCCGCATCATGATGTGAGGGGGCGAACCTCATAGTCATGGGGACCCACCATGTGGTAACGAGACTTAGAGTAGCCAACTCTAGCTATTCGTCACCAGAGTTTAGTGATAACAGCAACATTTGAACCTCAGATCTTATAGTCCGAAGCAGTTTAGCGACAGCAAATTAAACTACGAACACTATCAACACCAACATATGCGATCACGAACTTAATATGGTTACAATGGCGCCGCACCGGGTATA